TTCCGATCTTACTACTACTACTACTAGTACTACTACTAGTACTAGTACTAGTACTAGTACTACTACTACTACTACTACTACTACTACTTCTTCTACTACTACTACTACTACTACTACTGCCACTACTACTACCACCACCGCCACCACTCCCACTAGCACTACCACTGCCACTTCCACTGCCACTACCACTACCACTACGATGGTACCGCGGGTTGAAACATACTCCGATAACGCTTGTTGGTCTTTGTGGCCATGCGCTAGGTAAACCGTCAACCCTAAACCCCGCTAAGCCCTAATTCGGAGGCGGGGTTCCTACAAGACTGGTGGAAGGTGTCCAGGAGACGCTTCTTCGAGGTCGGCGGGTTCTGGTGGCTGGTCCTTTTAGGGTTGATCATGATCTTAGGGTAAAGTATAGGGAACCCCGTTACCAAGCATCCGGGGTTCATGTTCTAGGAACCTGAGTGTTTGGTTATGGTATTCTTCGCATTCTTTGGAGGTCCCTCGTAGAATTTTAGTACAAGACACCGAAAACCCCCAGTCCTGTATTGGGTTTTCGGCTGTGGCTGCTTCAGAGTGCAAGGGTCTACTGGGGTTAAAGCATTTGGGGTTAAAGAGCCTCATGGTTTTCAGGTGGAAAGTTGATATCCGCGAGTTTTGCCGGTTCGTCTTTGGTTAATACTTGTGCAAATGACGCGATAATGCGCAACGACTGCCCCAACAAAGACGAAAACTTCTCTACACCAGCATCCTGAAAATTAGTTTTGTGCTTTTTTGCGCATTTCGCACGGAGTTGTCGGCGGCCTTTCCCCATACTTCTATGACTCTTCTTGCTCGCATTGAAACCACACGTGAACCCATATTTTCCCTACACCAGTGTCTGGAAAATTGTTTCACTTCGGGCTTCAAGGCATCGGGCTCAGGATTTCAGAGTTCAAGGTCGAGGGTCGAGGGTTTCGGGACGCTGGGTCCTCACTGCAAAAGCCCACTTTTCAGAGTCTCTGACGCACCAAGGTTTACGATGCTGGCGCTCAAGGCCCTTGCAAACTTTGTGGGCACGGGCAGCGTGCTGTCGACGATGCTGGATGTGCAAGACATTGGGGTTGGCGTCGCTTTCTGGATCATGTCCTTCTACTATGCCCTGATGTGCTACACCCACTTGCATATTTGTTTCCCGAGCTGCAAGAGAGAAGCTGTTCGACAAGAAGGCTGCCTTCTGTGGATTGCTTATTCAGGTTGGCCCATCCCTTGAGCCCACACTTCTCCCTGCCCGAGGTCCTTGCTACAACAAGCTAGTCTAAAACTCAAGGAGGCCTGTATCCACAACAAGCCCTAGCCGCCCTAGCCTTGCAGCCTTCAGCCCAACACCCCCAAAACCCCAACACCCAAAGCCCCCAGACCACTAATATTGAATGTCGCAGTGTATAGCATCTTGGCGTGCTTCTTGCTTGGATGGTTCGCATACGTCTTGCGCTGAAGACTAGACTCACTAGACCCCCTATATCACCCCATATCCCCAAACCGCCGAACCCCTAAAACTTAAACCCCGAACCCTTGCAGGAACCCCAAACCTGACACCCCTTCAAGGAACCCTAAACCCAACACCCCTTAAGGGGGAAAGACTCAGCCTAAATGCAGCGCAACCCACATCCAAAGCCCTGGCATAGCTCCTGATCCGAGCAGATTGAACACTAAACCTAGGATGAAAAGACCAACACCCAAAAAAACCCTGAACCTAGGGTTTAGGGTTGAACCTGAACCAAAGCACCATTCTCGCTGATGTTTCAAAGAGCCAACATCCGACCCCTTAAGCTTTAGCTTAGACCCTAATCCCTGAACTTAAGCCCTAAACCTGAGCCCTGCCTTAAACCATACACCCTGAACCTTAAGCCTGAACCCTCGAAGTTTCAACCCACCGCCCTAAACTTTAACCCCTAAAGCTTAAAAGCCGTACAGCCGAGACCATAATAAACGGAAGTCCCCCACCTTTCAATAGTTTACCCTCAAATCCAGCACCCTTTCCTCCCTAAACGCTTTATCCTAAAGTCCAGCAGTGTTTCCTGCCCTAAAGACAGCCCGAGGTTGTGGGCTCGAGTTGGCCGTGGACGGATTCGGGCTTCGATTTTTTAAGGACTTGGGGGCTTTCGCAGGTTTTGAGGGTTTAGGGTTCAGGTTTTAAAGGTACGGGTCTGGACATTTAAAAGGTTTTCGGTTTAGAAGATCTTGATTCATTGATCCTAAACCCCGCACTTCACTGTGAGAGTTTAGCGCTCAACTGCCACAGCTTGACCATGTTTTGCTTGAGAGGGTAGAGGTTCACGGGTTAGTGGAGGCAGTATCCAGATAAGATGAAAAATTGACATGAACCCAAGCTGCAAAATCATCCAGAGTCATTCCTCTCTTCAAGAGCCTCGGGTCCTTCTGCAGGATGTGGCAGTGGCAAGGCACTGATGTGTCTTGAGAAAAACTGAACATAACCTTTCTGAAACCTTTTTTTCTGGCTGATCCACGAAATTCAAAATCCCGAAAAACGAGTCAATACCGAAACCGCCCCGGTTAGTGAATCCGCTGGGCAAACCCTACGTAAGCTCTAAGCACTGAACCTTAAACCCGAAACCCTAAATTGGAAGCCTTCCGACCTTGCCAGGAGATGGATGTCGAACAGGCGCTGGAAGAGTGGAGCCAAGTGCAGGCCATCCTACGTCAGGCGGGGGGCTCTGGGGTTCCGAGGAGGCTCAGGTTAGGGCGCAGGGTTAAGGGTTTTGGGGTTTAGGAGTTTAGGGTGCAGGGTTTGGGGTTTTAGGAGGGCATTTGGGAGTTTAGGGTGCCTGTTTCTGGGGATTGTGGGTTGAAGGTTCAGTGGTTGGGGGTAGGAGGATCAAGGCTCAGGGTCTAACATCAGGACTGTCGACCTCTGATTCACAAACCCGCTCCGGTAAGGTCATCGGGATCTCAAAATGAAGGTCTTTCGACAACGGGAGTGGGTTCAGGGATCTACATGAATTGGGAAGGTGCCCCACACTTTTCCCCGGTATACCGATAGCCAAGCACCCTAAACCCCAAACCCTAAACCCTAGGGAAATTTTAGGGTTCAGGGTTTACGGTCCAAGAGGTCTTCACAAGCCTTGAGCCACGGCCTTTGGCCGAGAGAGCTGAAGAGAATGGGAAGACTCTTCGGTTTAGGGTTTTGGGTTTGGGCGCTTAGGGAAAGTTTGGGGTGTAGGGTTTGGGGCTTAGGGAAAGTTTCGGGTTTAGGATTTGGGGCTTCGGGAAGGTTTAGGGGTTACGGTTTGGGGTTTTGGGTAGAGGGTGTGGGGTTGAGGGTTTAGGGTTTGGGGTTTGGGGTTCAGGGTTTAAACCTGAGGAAGCACGATCCTGCGATCCTGCAGCAAATTCCTTGTTGCACCATCGTGGAAGTCGCAGAGTCAAGAACTTTCGGCCTTGCACATTTGTCCTACAATCTCAGCCTTGCAGGCTCAGCGTTTTCGGGCTCTGGAAGCCGTTACACTCTAAGCCCTGAGCCCTGAGAACATCAACTATTCCCTAAACGCAAAAAGACACCCGGTCGTTAGCGGGAGTTGGAGGGCTCCGTGAGCTCTAACAGACTCTAACAGGTTATTCCATTTCCTACGCTACCATCCGCTCCATAAAGTTGGGCTGTTGCTGCAGTGTTCTAGCGTCATATTTCGTATGTGTAACTTCAGGCAGGGCTGCAGAGGCGCAGGTTGAACATCAGGCGATGTCTCCGTGAAGCCCGAAGCACTGGAAGCCCCTGAGCTCCGCAGTCCGTTAGCTCCAGGTCTCCAAACCCTGCATTAGATCTATGCGACAGGCCTCCAGAAAGATCAGCAACTCCCTACTGCTTCTGGGCATGGCCTGCCTGGCCACTCTCGCCATCCTTGCAGAGAAGGCCAGGCTGCAGGGATCGGGGATGTTGGCTCGTGTCTGGCCGTGTTGTGGTAGTTTTGGTCGTCGTCGAGTTGCTCCTGCTGCTGCCACGGCGGGGGCAGCTGGTGGTGGTGGTGGTGCTGCTGCTGCTGCGGCCCTGTCTTGCTGGTCTGGTGTTGGTGCTGGTGCTGGTGCTGGTGCTGGTGCTGGTGCTGGTGGTGGTGGTGCTGCTGCTGTGGCTGCTGCTGCTGCTGGTGGAGGTTGCTTGCTGGTTGTTTCTTTGGGTCTTTTGGGCTGTTGTTGTTTGTTTTTTGTTATTTTTTTGAGTTGTTTGTCGTTACTGCTGCTGACTGAATCAGTTGGTGTGGCACCGCAGCTGCAACTACAGAAAGTTTTGATTGCTTACAACTTTGCGTGTTTTTTGTTGTTGTCCTGTCGTTGTGCTGCCGCTCTTCCCAGGAATCGGGTCTTACGCTTCGTAAGGGTTGAGGGCTGTGCAGAAGCATGGGCTCTATCTGCCCGATCTAATCCCAATCTAATTCCGAAATGGGACTTTCCGAAAATTAGGGTACCTTCTTTTGGGTCATTATAATAAGGAACCTATTATTTAGGGTACTATATTAAGGTCCCCTATTTTTGGAAACTCCCAAATCGTGTCCTTGCCTGCAGGTCATACAGGCGCCAGCTCACTTCAGCGAGATCGGGGATCTGCTGCATTGGATCCTCTGGTTCTATCCGCTCATCACACTGCGCCTCAGACATCGATCCTTTAAACTTGCTTCAGTAACGAATCCCACCCCACCCTTGAATATTGAACGCTGCTATCATGAATCGCCTTCTTGTGAGCAGTTTTTGTCAAAAAGGACCCTCAGCGAGCAACGTAGCCGCAAGTGACCCAAGTACGTGTATCCTTCCCGTCACTCTTTCCACAACTGCTGTCATCACAGCACTCGAGCCAGCATTTATATTTTTGCTCCCCCATCGGTATCGCATCCACTACCTCGAAGCCTCCAAGTCCTCTTCGAATCCTGCTTGCTCGGTTACTGTGACCTAGACCTCGACCCGAACGCTTTGACCCTGCACTCTAGTCATTTGAGCTTTGAGCAGAAAGACGCAATCGCTCAGAGCTGCCGCTGCCTGCTCAAAGGTTCCACGTTGAGTCTGGGGATCCCGCATCCGAAACCTTGAAACCGGAAGCAGAGGAAGCCTCATGCACAACACCCCCCGTCAGCTCAAAAGCCCTGATTTCTGAGGTACCTGTACACAATGATGCGTGCAGCTGCGGTCACTGAGAAAGCGAGCCTCAGTAGCCCAGTAAGGGTTTAGAAGGGCATTGGGTTTAGGGCTTGAGGTGTTGTTTATGGTATCCGAATGCTTGTGTGGCCCAGAGCTGATACTTTTGTACCCGCAGGATTTGTCTGGTTCTATGCTCGTGGATTTCGACATGAAGAGCCCTGAGCCAGGTTTTTTGTAATCAGAGAGATCTACAGGGTTCGGCGCCGTCAGTTTCCCGCAAAACCTGGTAAGCCCGAAGCCTACACCCTAAACCCTAAACCCTAAACCCTACACCCTAAACCCTAAACCCTAAACCCTAAACCCTAAACCCTACACCCAAACCCCTAAACCCCTAAACCCCTAAACCCGAAGCCTTGAATCC